CTTGAGGTATTTTTTCCCTCATATTTTTTTGGACGTAGCTTATATAGGCAGTGTCCACGTGCTCTAAGCATGTCAGTAAATACTCCCATTAGGACAGCGATTTAGAGAAGGTACCAGGACAGGCACACTGAAGTCCAGGTCACTCGATGAAGGGTGAAATACGGCAGCATGGCTGGGAGACACACACACTCTTCCCAAGACTTTATATCAATGAAAAATGATCATTGCCATCTCTAAAGAGCCCTTTTTTTTTTTTTGGAGAGGTTTTTGCTATAAGACACATGCGCTCGCCTGAAAGAGAGAGAGAGACAGACAGAAAGCGAGAAATCACCCCCCAGGGGGGATGGCCACGCCGCAATCCCTTCTCCTCCATTCTCCTCTTGGGATCTTGGGCACTCACGCACATGCACCCGGCATGAGTTTTAAGCCACTGGGTCCGGGATGCGAACTATGTGGGAGTCCAGCGACATAGCCATTACGCTAACTGCTGGTTCCCAAGATCCCTTTTTAAAAGCACTGTGGGTATGAAATTCAGATGCTAGAAAAACTAAATCAAATTTCAGAGTGCCCTCTACCCTCCAATTATGCTGACAGATACCGTTGTTGGTCACTGAGGTGCCAATGCAAGCTAACTGCTCCAGGTCCTATTTCCCATTCCTCGCACCCCGATCATCCTACAATAAGACGGTGGTCAGGAATTCAGAAAAAAACATGTAGACAAGTGGGTACTGTAGGAGCGGACGGCACTGCAGATGTCAAACTGGTTGGTTCCCTTCGAGTGCACCAGGGCGTCAACAAACTCACTGGCAAGAGGAGAGTGTCCTGCCACTGCAGCCTTGCTGATCCCGTCCTTTGCAATGATGCAGTTTGTGTGTGGGTTTTTTTTTTGTTTGTTTTTGGTCTTAACACTTTTTACCTGGGAAAGGAGGCTGCTACCAGTCGTCATAGCAATTCTCCGCCATCACCTGCCCACAGGGACCTCACGGCCTCATGGCCTCCGCCTGCCTTGCGCCATTCACATTCAGCACGGGCAGCCACGGCCCATCGCGGCACTCCGTTATACGTGCACTCATTATTCTGCCGTCTGCTGCTATAATGCTCCTATTAATTTTCCTTTTGATATTTTAAGAGCAATCTATAAATCATGCCGCCTTTCATCTGCGCCATCATTAATGCTCGGTAATAATGCTGCGGCGTCACCAACACGGTTCGGTTTATCGCACAACCAAGTAAACAAGAGGCTTTGACTTCCCTCCAGGTTCGGCATGTCCGAAAGTTGAACCAACTGCAAACTTTTTCATAGATACGCATGCGGATCGTAAGAGAAACGAGACAGTGTGGCTGAAACAACGCCCGACACGCAAAGCCCAGGGGGTGGGGGAAAAGCACCTGGCTCCTTTTATTGCCGTTGTGTCCTTGTAGGGCTAGAGGAGCAGACTGCCTGGGTGGGAAAGTTAGTACATGGTCCTTTGGGGCAATGACCAAGATAGACGTTTCTAGAAGTGCAGAATTCTACCTGCTCTAGGAAATGAGAAAAGATAGAAAAGGGGGGCTCAGAGAAGGGTCAGTGTGCACAGAGCACAGGGAGACTGGGGTCTGAAGGCTCAGACCGTTGGGTGGCTGATACTCACACAGCTTGCATAGGGGATCTGCCCGGACTGCTGTCGCTCTCGTTGCTGTTGGTATGCTCCATTGCCCCGTTCAGCTCTTCCCGGATGGCGCTGGCCAAGTTGCCCAGAGTGGGGTTTCCCATGGAAGCAGTAGTGTATAGAGGTATACTGTTCTCAGCCATCGAAGCCTGCCGTCAACCGAGAGAAGACTTATGAGGACACAGGGTATGAAGGCAAACCGTGACCATCGGTTTAGGGTGGTGGTCGCGTGGTTGGTAAACTACGAGTTTCTAACAGATGTAGATGCGTTTTGCTTTAAAAGTGACTTGTGGCACATGTCTCACGCTGGGTTTTGGAAGAGAACAAGGGAGACTAAGGCACTCCTGGGGAAGGACTCAATCTGGTCCTGCTTGGTACAGTCACATGGTTTAGGCAAGGCTGTCTAATATGAGGTTTCTATCTGATGTGTTTTTTCAAGAGGAACTGAATATTTCCAGATCACAGTGAGATATAATGGAATTTTCATTTCTTTATCCATTTTGATGACTTCAGTATTGGATATCAGAGATCTGATGAGATTATTCTGGCTGCACTGTTCAAATTTATGAGAACTTCCATAAACATTGACCTCTTAGATCCTATAGAAAAGGAAGAGATTATAGAATTGGAATCAATTTTTTTCTCCCCACCCCCATCATTTCCGTTTTAATGGTTTGGGAATCTGTTTAGTATAGTTTGAGATAACCACTTGAAGGGAACACCACACCGTCTTTCAGACTCAGACCAATCACCTGGGGTTTTAGGACAGACAGAAGAAGAATGTGTGGCCAGAGGAAGCTCTAAATCATATTTCTTTTCAGTACCTAAGTATATCGATATTAAAGGTGACAAAGTCATTCCACATGAGTGTCAGCAAAAAAGCGTGAAAATGAGGGATGGGGAGGGAGGAGGGAACCCTAAACTTTGCAGTGGGATAGTGTTCACTTCCTGTCCTATGGCATTGGAAAAAAATGGCCACCCGGACTGAAGTATCCATAGTTGCTAGGGTTGGAGAGTGACAACGACCCAGTGACTTTTCATTTGATGAAAGAAGACAGACTTTCAAAAACTGGCAGCTGTACTCAGACCGCGATTTATCAAACTGGTCCTTGTGCAGCCTGTTCGATGCCGGGTTTGTCATCCTAATGCGAAAGAGCCAATCGCAAGACTATCTGGCACAGTGACTTCAACTGGCCAATCACCCAAGAGTCCAAACTATTCTTCCAACCTTGGCTTTAAGGTAAGAGCCTAACGTGAAGAAAGGGTACAGAGCTGGGCTGCAGGAAATCTGCCTGCTGATGTGACAATGACAGCCTTGGTGTATGAACCCCGAAGCCAGAAAGGCTACGCCACAGCTGCTGCTTTCTTCTTGTCTGAATTTTCCTCTAATGGGGCAGGGTGGGGTTGGGAGGGGAATCCTGCTTTTAATTTCCAAGTGTGGCGAGCTCATTTTGATGAATGGCCAATCAGAGCATCCCCCATGCTCCAACAGTCTGTCAAATAATGTGCATCGAGTACTTTTTTGACCGGATCTCTTGCAATACTAATGAAGTTTTTCTGTCCTGCTCTTTTTTGGCAGAGCAGGTGTCGCTACCGTTATCTTGGAAACCACAGCTGGACAAGCATCTTAACTGCTTTTCCATTCAACACCATGGTGGGTCACACCTCTCTTAGTCTTAGAAGTCCTGCTGGGCCCGTCAATCTCTTTCTACTGGAATACGACGAGATCAGCTCGTGTTACAAGGTAACTTCATGATCGAACGGAATAGTGTAATGTGACAAGAATGGTCAGTGACCAGCATAGGTCATTTGCTAGCTAGACAGTCTATTGGGTTGTCGGAAAAGTCATGATGCACTTTTGCATAGGAAAGCATGTCATGACTTTGCTAATGACCCAAGAGTAGTTTCTCCAGCACAATATTGAGACACAAAGACAAAAGTCAAAGGCTTCTAAAACTGTGCTCATCAGGACAATCTGGTCCTCTCAGAGACGGGGCAGCCATCTGGGGATGAGCATGTGCAGTCTGTGGTTCTTTAGGGCTATTTCTCATTGGGACTGGACCACAGGACGTAAGCGGAGGAGCCGAGAGCTGCAATGGCGAAGGGCACCCAAAGGTACGTGTGTTGATCCCTTGGTATAAGACCAGTCTTGATCCTTTTTTTTTCTTTAAAAAAAAAAGGCAAATGGGCTGCAAAGAGACCCCACAGAGTCTCTGGCCACGGAAAAGTCATGATGCACTTTTGCATAGGAAAGCATGTCATGACTTTGCTAATGACCCAAGAGTAGTTTCTCCAGCACAATATTGAGACACAAAGACAAAAGTCAAAGGCTTCTAAAACTGTGCTCATCAGGACAATCTGGTCCTCTCAGAGACGGGGCAGCCATCTGGGGATGAGCATGTGCAGTCTGTGGTTCTTTAGGGCTATTTCTCATTGGGACTGGACCACAGGACGTAAGCGGAGGAGCCGAGAGCTGCAATGGCGAAGGGCACCCAAAGGTACGTGTGTTGATCCCTTGGTATAAGACCAGTCTTGATCCTTTTTTTTTCTTTAAAAAAAAAAAAAAAAAAAAAAAAGGCAAATGGGCTGCTTGCCTCCCCCACAGAGTCTCTGGCCACTCTCTGTTGAGCAAGTGATACACACAGCCTATTCAGGGTTGGAAGGAAGTATCACTGTTTACACCGAACACAGTGGCTCATTCGGGTAGTGGCTGGTATCCGCTTAGGAGCAGGTGCGTGGGAGTTTTTCTAACAGAGTTAATTATACAATGGTCCCGTGCAGAGTATGAGGTTTCCTACAGAGACAGCACCCTGGCCAGAAAGAAAGTGAAGGTGCTTAAGTAACTGTGCAGAAGTCCCTAAGTACCATCGTTCCTGGAACAGTATCCACTCTGAGATCCTCGGGGAAAAAGGCAGTCTATAAATATGAAGCTTTACGGTTACCCTTAGTTACTTCACTTTTTCAGCGCATAATGCAATCTGTCCCAAGTCCCATGTTTTATTTCTGTAGTGGATTCTGCTGTCCTATTTTATATATTGCATATCATGCATTATGTTGCTCTAGTAATTTTTTTAAAGATATTGTTCCACTATTTTTTTTTTTTTTTTGGTCTTGGAAAATCAAAACGGGCAATAATGGAAAAGGCGGGCCTGAGGTATAGCCTCTATTTAACTGGCACAGCAGAGAGCCGTCTTGGGCAACTGCGTGTCCATCAAGGGTCCACGTTCACAGAGGGGAGGTATTTGTCTCTATTTGTTCTGTCTCATTCTTGGAAAATAGGAGAGTTTGGGGATACTACGGGAAGCTGAAAAGTGGGCTGAGGATGGCCCAAACAAATGTTTTAATGATAAAACATGAATGTTTCTGTAATGATAAAGCATATTAACTGAAATCAGTTACACAGTTTAGAGCATCCAGAAGATGATTTTTTTTTTTTTTTTGCCTCTCTGCCTCATGAATGCAAAATGTGCTTGTAATTGTAACAGTATTCCAGATAGAACAGCCTTTAAATTCACACTTCACAAGACTCCAGGGAAAATAAGTTACTAATGAATGGTATTTACAGTGGCGGCATCTAAGCGCGCTTTCATTTACTCTTCTAAAGTTACTGTGTAAACTACAAGTAATTAAGAGAAACGCAGAAAGTAGTTTTTCCTATTAAAATTGGTTCAGGCTAAAAATAAGCAAATATAATTACTGAAATGCTAAGTTCAGTGAATTTGGCTTTGCACTGAAACTGTGTAAGAGGCATATCATCATCGGTTCTTGGGAACTGCTGCTCGAGGTCTGGGAAAACGGTCTCGTAGGACACTCAAGTAGGTTCTCGACCAGCGAGACCCAGGGCCTCTCCGTCCTCGTCCTGTTCCCATCGTGCCAATAGTCGTCACCATTTCTTAATTAGTGTCTGTTGATGCTCTCATTCCCTATTTCTTTGTTTTGAGAGATTTTTGCTATAGGGCGCACGTGCTCGCAGGAGAGAAAAAGACAGAACGCAAGAAATCAGTTTGGGGGGGAGGTGGGGATGGCCACGCCACAATCCCGTCTCATCTTGGGATCTTAGGCACGCATGCACATGCGCCTGCTGTGAGTTTTAAGCCACTAGGCCCTGGACTCCAGCCATAGTCGACTGTGTGGGAGTCCAGCGATGTAACCATTAACGCCATCTGCTGGTCTCCTGGTCCCTAAAATGTTAGGAGCCATTTATGTGGAACAGTCGTTTGGAAGAACACAAGCTGTTATAGGTATGTAAGAGCCAATTTTGGGGTGCTAGAGCTATCACAGAGGTCTGCATCAGATTGCACAAGTCAGTAGAGCAGATCCTGGGGCCTGTCATTTTCCACCAAGATGCCCACGTCTGAGCTCTTGATGGGGGACTTAAACCCTCAACCCAGGTATTTTCAAGAACTGTGCCTAGTGCAGTCCGTCGTTGTCAGAGAGGATTTTACTGTGTGATAACTGAGAAGTGCAGTCAGTGAAAGGCCCACTAAACGCCTGGGCTGCCCCAGTAGCCCCCTTTCAGGTGGTCGTCTCCCTCCTGCTGGAAGCTGGTGGCTTGTACCCACAGTCCCATCAATGAAGTGACAAGCCCTCCAGGAACCACCCTTCTCTGCAATTATTACGTAATCTTGAACACTCTGCTGGCAACCTAGAGAGTGTTATTGTTTAAACCCAAAGCGTGTCCTAAGTGAATCGACCCAGCTCCTCCCCTCCCCAGCCTCCCCGCAAGACCAAAAAAAGATGCTAAAGTCGACTGTAAAAGAAGACCCCGAAATACAAAGCTCTGCTTTCTCTTTAAACCCGTGAACAATAGAAGGTCATGTGACGAAGTGGCCTATCATCCAGCACATTAATAGCTGTGCTAGAGTAATTACACTTGTGGTATTTTTGCCTCAAGTGAAATTCTGAAATAAGAGGATGGAAATTATGATACTGCTGATAAATATTAATAAGTGAACTTTTAATTTTTTTGCCACAATATTCAAAATGCTAAGCATCCTGCTAATGCTGAAGCAGCCCGATGTGTTTGCCTCCAGGGAGCACGATGCTTTGTGCACTTAAGAAAAAAGTTTAACGGAATTAAAATTTAATATCTAATTAGAGCGAGGCTAATATATTTTGAAATGAGTGGGGGAGACACGGGCCGCGGCTGCCGGCTCAGGGTGGCCATTAATCTTACCTGTAAAGCGGCATTGAGAGGTGTGCAGTAGGCGTGGCTGCTCTGCATGTTCTTAATGAGGGAAGGGTTACTGTGAGAGAGACAGAGAGTCCGCGTTAAACGCCGTCAACCCCCGACGTCCTGGCTAAGTTTCGTTAGCAGCTGACTAGGATCCTTCCAATCAGAAAGGTCGCCCCCATCACCACACCCAAGAGAACGTAGGTCTTTTTCCCGGGCCCCTGCTTTTAGAAGGGCTCTGGCCTGTCTGCGCCGCTCTGGGGCTGAGACTGTGATTCAAGGAAGCCGGGTCTCTGATTCTGGCTTCGGTTACAACGGGCTCGGAGTACGCCATGCCCGGGCGAGACCTCGCGGCAAGTCTGGAACAGGGAGACTGACTCTGTCAGGAGGGCTGCGGCCCAGAGGCTGCCCTGGCGGGAGCAGGGACTGAACTCTAGATGACAGCAGGAAGATCTTCTCGGCGAGGTAATGCCAAAAGAAGATGGAGAAGAGGGCAGGACGTCCCTACGTCAGGCGCCGGGAGGAAGACCTCCTCGTACCACCGGATCGGGGCAGGTAGGGGGATATCGGAGGCTGTCTCCGTTCCCAGGCCAGGCGAGGCAGTTTAAGAAATTCTCTAGGCTAACAGAATACGAACACTGCCCCAACTAGTCAGGGGATACTGAGGGACAAGCGTGACTCCTGGCAGGAGTGTACTTATATTCGTCAGAAGCCCTCGGAGGAAGCGTACACGATGTCCTCCCTCAATTTGTTGCCTTATTCTCGGAACATGTCAGTCATCTGTTTCATTCCAAGGTCATTGGCCCCCTTAAATACCCATCATGAACTACCCCCCAATTTCCTTTCCACTTGGAGGAAGTCTGGGTCACGCAAAAGAGCTGCATTCTAGCTGGCAGATCGAAATACAACCGATATTGGCATTAAAGACGTCAAAAAAGCATTCTTCAAGGCACCGGTGTTCCAGAGAGAAACGAGAGCAATACATGTACAAATCACACGGCTGAGTTTCGTTGCAGAAAGCTGTGGCACTGCTACTCGGTGAAATGCACAACTACATGGGATGAGTCAACCATGCAAAGCCAAAGCAACAGCAGAAACAAAAAAACGAAAGCAAGTAAAGGCTCTTACTGTGCGCCAAGCTCGTCAAAGTTTTCATCGGGGCAGTATTTGCGAGGACGGCCTCGTTGAATATGGCGGCCACGTTTGAACTCTTCATCATCAACTGTCCAAAAGGACCCAAACTCATCCTCTACTCTGATAAAGCACTTATGCAGTGAGAGGTTGGTGCGAATGGCACCCTGGGATAGGAGCAGCAGCAAAGGAGATGAAGTGGCAACAAAAGGAGACGGGGTTGGGGGCAGAACAGACATCCAATACAGGGAACAGGAAAAAGAAAATAAAATGCAATAAGCATAAGCAAATGGTTTGTGAGGGTTAATATGCATTGCCACCTAAAAGCTACTAGCATGTGATGCAACAAAGACCAGCAAGCAGGGCAGGGGGACTGGTGGGTATACAAAACAGGAGGGATGAAATGCTTTTTTGCTTCCCTTAACTGAGACGACGTGAAACCAGTTCTCTGGTCTAACACCATCTAGCAGCCAAAGCCTCTACGTTATACTTGTTAGCGCAATCCGAGCTAGGCTAAGAAGTTCAAACATGGTGGACGTACCCACTGATCTTTTGTGGCCTTCGTTTTTGGAATTCTACTTCATCCACTGTCCATACTGCCCCTTTAACGTTTTCTACTCGCACAAAACACTTGTGAAGGCTAAGATTATGACGCACTGCATTCTGCAGCAAGTATAAAAGAGAGAACATTTACATTTTCTATGAGAAAAGACTCCAAAAACAGCAGTACATTCAGCCTAACAGTCCACATTTGTAAAACCATTCCCCGGAACGGCAGCTACCCACCCCCGTGGACGACCTTGTGGTGGGGAAGGGTGTCTTTTTCTAAAGTGAAAAGCAAAAACCAAGTTTAGGACTTTAGGGCACTTTGGCATTTTCGTCTAGTCTCTGGTAATATCTAACCGGCAGAGATATTTTGTAATATGCATAACAAGCCCAAAATAGGTTCCACAGTACAAATGTGAACATGTTGTTACTATGACTTCAAAATAGGGAAACATGTAAAACACAGAACTTTCCCTTTTAGACCATCTACTTCCCGTATTAAAAAAAAAAAAAAAAAAAAGTAGTTTTTCTTTTTCATACAAAATCAACAAATAGACACTCACATTTAAGCACACAGGCAAAATGTGTACAGCATTCCTGGTAAGGAAGCAAGGTTAAAAATTAGGCTGGAGAGAGTGAACCACACTCATAAGCTCTGTTTATAGTGGCATTAATCCATTCATGAGGGTAGGGCCCTCATTCTATTTTGAAACTATAAATGGTGAAAAGTTGGTTAATATTGTTCAAGCTGATGATGTTCTTGACTGGGTCTGGCTTTACAAAACTTACACGGGGTTTAGTAACAAGACTCCCACATTGGATTTTATCATTGAGAGGATCACCTCACACAGCCGACAGGATGGGGGCAGAACTGTCCCGCCTACAGAGGAGTATCCACGCTGAGCTCATACGCAGCAAGCTCTGCCTTACCTGAAAGCTCTCTCTCATGGCTAAGTACCTTCATGGAGTGGCTGCCAGAGGAACGCATGAGTGGAACTCTCAATGGCAAAATGACTGTACTCTGGCTGTTGCTAAGTTCCTGCAGGCACACCTTTCTTTAAGCTGAGACCCTTGACATCCGTCCAAAAGGAAGATCTCAACTCAAAGGTGAAGGCCTCTGCACATCTCACCTTCCCTTGGAGTTTCAGGACAACCCACAAACCTTACCAGGCACAGTAACAAGTGTGGCCACATGTCTTTAGGCCGGCCGGCTGGCACTTACTAATCCAGACTCGATAGTGGCCATGAGGCTATCAGAGGGATACAACTCGTGGACTTCAGCCTCTCTTCTCACACAGAATGAGCAGAGGACGCAACTGGAGCGTGAAGAGTTGATGTCCACATCACACCTCGTGTGCGCTCACTCACCTCCAGTAACACTGCTCTTGCTTAGACGCTCTGCACCCCTCTTTCTACCACCTGTAGTACGGACTGCCTACTGCCCAAACCATCCTTAATGGTGGCAAATCTTGGTACTTTGAGAGGTGTTTCAAATTTGGGAAACTCTCACTTGGTGAGAATTCAAGCTCCATGCTACTTCCTCTTCTGTGATACTTCAGAAGGTCATGAGACAACTTTCATGGGCTGGTGTGATGACCTGCTCCCAAGGACAATTCACAGAATACAGTCCCAAAGACTTTTTAAGTCATGTCAGCCTGACTGTGGTCATTGAAGATGCCCAGGGAAGGACGGACACCCCTGAATCAAAACACTTTGCTGGAGTTGTTTAAACAAACAAATAAAAAATCCGACACCCCTTTGGCAGGGCAATTTTCTTTGCCTGAGAATTGTAGGAAGGATTTTTGTCCCATACTGCATAGCAGCAGAGCATAACATGCTGAAGGCTTGCTGCTGTTTCCTGGACTAACACCGAGGCGGTCAAGACAGTCAAGTGTCCTGTAACCATCCATACAGAACAGGGAGTGCTTGGGTCGTCGGGAAAATCATGGCACTTTTTTTTTTTTTTTTTTTTTTTTTTTTTTTTTTTTTTTTTTTTTTTTTTTTTTTTTTTTTTTTTTTTTTTTTTTTTTTTTTTTTTTTTTGGCCTAGGGAAACATGTCAGGGCTTTCCCAACAACCTAATCCACACCTAACTGGGGAAGAAATCCCACACTACTCATAATCATTGGTGTTTCAAAATATGTATCAAAGCGGAAGTGAAAGAGCTAGTGTGCCACTTCTGATTTCTACCTGGCTGTCATCTGGAGCAGAAACCCACTAGAAATGAAGAGTGACTCTAAGGAGATGAGGTGAGTTGACCTAGCTCTCTTCTGTGAAAAGTGGACGTGGCCATTTCCCCCTTTACCAGAGACCACGGTACAAACAAGGACACAGAGAGAAAATGGTATGTATCGATGAGTCATTGAGTATGTGCTCTAGGTTGTGTATATTAATGACACTTTCTCCTGCAGTTGGCGCAAATGAAAAAGTTCCATCTGAAGAGCTGAGCTTCACTATTACCTTCGCACGTGGTCATTATTTTTAAACTTGATCATTTGCTATTTATACAAGGCAATTTGAAGAAAAGGTCTGCTTCATGCGTCTACTTCCTACATTTGTAAAAAGCATGTCTAGCTGAAGGAAAGAGGGTACTTTTTCCCCCCCACAGGTTTCTTAACACCCTGTATCCTAACGGAAAGGTAGATGTTCACAGCTCTGTCAATATTCCTTCTCTTTAAAACTACTGCTTCATGCAAGTTCTGTGTTTAAATGTGCTTTTGTTTGTCTCTCCTTCAAAACGAAGGGAAGGAGCCAGAAAGACTTTTCTTCCCAGCAAAGCAAGTTTTCCTTGCATCCCAGCATCCCGTAAAAAAAGTCCTATCATCTACTGACATGTAAATGTTTGCGTGAAATGTTTTTGAAAAGTTTTAGTGTTCGAAGATTGCAAGAGTTCCAGATAGGAACACTTTAAAGATACATATGTCACCATGGACTTGCCCACTTTCAGTTTCCTGGTGTGTGATATCCTGGCTTACCACGGGGCAAGTCCAAAGCGCTATGGAGAAAACACCAACGCAATCTGTGAGCCAGCTGCTGTACTGGGCATAAAATCGGTCACAGGTCGCCAAGCACTGGCGGGGACAGCTCACCCAGAGCTCTATCACTGGACTTGCTTTATAGCAAATGGTGTCACCAAAAGGTGCCATCGTTCAGAAGCTATGCTCCTCTATCAGGTGTCTGTGGACCTCCGAGGGACAACCTCTGTATCCCCAAACAAAGCAAAGCAGTGTGACGCTGCTCTCCTGTAACAGCCTCTCCCACTGCAGGGCTGGCACTGGCCCGGCACAGCTTTCGCCAATAACTGGCCTCATACGAGCCGTGCTTAAAAGACCTAATGGCATGTGGTTTGTTGGGGACCAACATCTCCCTTGTCCTCCACAGTCTAATCAGAGAGACACAGTTTTGCCCATTGGCCCATCCGATGCCAGTGTACTGGCTATGTCTTTGACCACAGCAGAAGTATGTTCCGGCCCACAATTTCTAGCGATGGGACACAATGTATCAGAATGATACCAATGCAGGTCCCTCATAGCACAACAGCTGCGCTTCATCAACACCCTCGGCCCTCGGAACACCAAGGGCCAGGACTCAACCGACCCAGGAGAAAGCGTACCTTCCACGTGGCGGCATTGCGTCGGAAGTAAGCGAACATTCGTGTGAACCAGTTATAGATTTCGTTTAGTGTTAGCTGCTTTTCTGGAGATTCGAGAATGGCCTGCGAAGCACAAAGTAAGCGAAGAAGATCATTTATGACCCAATCAGCAGAATCATCTTGGCGCAGTTTCTGGGATCTATAAAATAACTGTGATTCAGAGCTAAAAACCCTCAGAAAGGTTTCACAAAATGATCTAAGATTAATGGTTGTATTTAACAGTTCAATAGCAAAATTCAAAATGGAATTATCTAATTGTTTTGAGTTTTTATTTCTGTTTCCGTACAGAAATATTAATTTATTAGTCATTCATAAAGCAGAATCAAAGAGAAATGCAAAACATTTCACTAGCTGATTAAAGCTCAGTAATTATTTAGAGCTCAGATTAATTCTAGGGATCAGAGATTACTGTAGCTTGTGATAATTGACTTGCCATCTTTAAACAGGCTCATTTTCACTGTTGTGTGAAATGAATTTCCTAATAATCACATCGTATTGTAATACTTAATCAAAAGCAATTATGTTATATATTGCAGTTTTAAAAAACCTTATAGAAAAGGTTTTAGCATGCTTGCATACTAAACGGTTTTAAATCTACTTCATCAATATAATCTATCCATGTACACGCACACCTTTGGATCTAATTCCACATACCGTGTTATTTACTTACCTGCCTAATTAAAGATGCATATGTAAATGGTGGTCTAACTTCTGCGTTCTTATAAAATTCTTGGTTCTGCGCAATATCTGCTAAATAAGAATCATTGTCCTATTAATTATCACCTTTGAAACGGGGGCTGGCCTACAAGCACCGCACACTGCCTTCTCCGCCCGCGGCAGACAGGGAACAGCTACCTGAAGAAATGGGCACGTTGTACTTGTCTGAGTACCGCCTGCGGATGGGTCCCACCGTGTGCATGCTGGTGGTGGTGATGACGGAAGGGCCTTGGGTGACGGGCGTCAGGGGGGCGGTGGGGGTCGTCGGAGTATGAGGTAAGCTCTGCGGAGAAGCCTCCGATGTGGACTTGGAGAGTGTGACACTTGATACCAGATTCAGCTGTGGGGGAAAGAACACGTCTTAGAAGACCTTTGGAAAACTGAGCCACCAAGAAAGCCTCTCACATCCAGTTGGCAGGCGGTGCTAATGCAGGGAATGCCCCCCTCCAGTTATTTTTCTAGAAAGACAGGTTTATAACTGACTGAAACACAAGGCATGTTCCCAGTGAAAACGATTTCCTTAGTATGTAGTATAAGACGTCACTGGCAATGTTTGGTGAAACGGGTGTTTTCCAAAGTCTGCGACATGGGTACTTCACACGGCAACAGGTTGCCGGGCCTACTGGACCGAGATGGTTCGGAAATCACAAGTCTAGCTTTAATAGCCTACTGAGCCTCCTAAACCTCAAAGAGGGAGATGGAGACTTACACACCCGAGAAGATGGGAGATTTCAGACAACCAGCTGGGATACAATGCTATAGACCTCAACTGTCCAACAGAACTTTCTAACATGTGCTAGCACAACTGAACAGCTCTGTGTGTGTGTGTGTGTGTGTGTGTGTGTTTAAAAGAACTATTTACTTTTATTTTGCAACGTGGCCAGGGAGAGAGAAATAGAAAGGGAAAGTGAGCAAGCCACCACGTCCAGACGTGAACCACGGTCAGCCACATGAAAGTCCAGCACCTAAACCACCACACCACCTGCCAGAACCCCATCCCTTTTTTAAGAGAGATTTTTTTGCTATAGGGTGAATATGCTCACCAAAGAGACAGAGAACTCAAGAAATCACCCCACAGCAGGAAGAGCCATGCTGTAATCCCTTCTCCTCTCAGTATCTGGGGCACACACACATGCCCAATATGAGTTTCAAGCTACTGGGTCCAGGACTCAAACTGCAGTCGGCTATGTGGGAGTCCAGCGATGTAATCATTACGTCATCTGCTGGCCCTGAGCTGTTCAATTCTTACAAAACATTACGCATTCACTTCATCGTAATCATTGTACATGTAATGGCCCCTTGTGGCGAGTGGCTCCCACACTGGGACCTGTGTTACAGGGCTAGGCTACTCGGTTTCCCCTTGCACTTCACGGATGGAAGTGGATGTTGGGAAGCACTGCAAATACGTCGGGCCCGTGGCTCACACTGAGAAGCGTGGCACTGGTCCAGTGAACCATCATTTATTTCTGTCGTTTGGCAGGGATTAATCATTAAAAGGTTTGTGTATAATCTTCATTAAATTCTATCAAATACAGGACAGGGATCTATTAATTTTCAGAGAATATAGCATATGAGCCATCTGAAACTGTAAGACTTTTGTTAATTTTTTTTTTTTTTCACTTTTGAGCAGTCCCTGAAATGAAATACTATTTCAAGGTAAGGAAACAAATCTAATTTATTCCTAGTAGTATAGAGGAAAGTGAGAACTATTTTGAGATTTTCCACCTTACCTTCACCTCGAGGTGCTATTCTTGCAAATACTGGAGGGAACAGTCCCTTCCAAAATTTGTTAGATCAGAATATTATTTCAAATCTGGCAACGCTAAAAAACTTGGTAGTTTTCAGCATACACACACACACGCGCATATGTGTATATTTAAAACCAATTACAGAATTGCTATCTCAAATACACAGGGCTGCTCCCCAAATTCAAGACACTTCAGTGAAGTAGGCTTACTGGGTAACACTATCTTAGATTTTCTGCAGTAAATGATTCGAAATCTAGTTTGTTTCATCCTCGCTACAGTCATTCTAGAATATAAGGCATTATTTGTGGGATGTATTAAAAATGAGATTCCTCTGAGATCATAATCAAAGAACATATTAAAGGAGAGTTCTGGTGTGTTGAGAAGACTCAACCTTTATTCATACTCTGGTAATGAAAGCGGCCAGGAGACTCCTCTCTACTACGTTCAGGGGAGCTCCCTCAAAAAAAAAAAAGGACAGTGACTCTCAGGAACGACAACTACAACAAAATCTCACAGAAGAAATACTGACACATGAAAACGAAGTCTTGGAAACTGCATGTTGGGTTACAAGCTTCTAGTACTTTCCATCTTCATCTTGAAATGGTGACTCAGCACACATCAACCCCAATGCCCGAGAAGAGCAGGCTCCAGGGAATGGCCCTGGTTTCACAAACCCCGCTGCGGGCTGGGCAGATGCTGGTAGCTGCTTAGCAGTCGGGCCTGAAAGGACTTGTGAGCACGAAGCGCTCAGTTTTGAGTAGCAGCAAGGGATGGAGTAGGGGCGGGGCATGGGGGCTGAGAAGCCAAGGGAGAAGGGTCAGGGCTGACCTCTCCTCCGCCTCAGCCTTAATCACCGACCACGTCCAGGAACAGTACGTATAAGCATCAGCCCAAGCAAAGGGTCAAGGAAATTAGTGCACGAAAGGCGACGGCTCATAAATACACAGCTTTTATCATTCTGGCGCTGCGAAGCCTGAGAACATCAGATCGCTTTCAACAGTCTAGGCTCATATTGGTAAAAATGGAGTTGTTGTTTTGGTTTTGAATTTGCCACAGTGCCTGTGCACTCAGAGGCGGTCAGGGTAGAAGTGAGAAAGTAACCTTCTTATCCTGGTAAGAAATGCCCACACCACTCCTCCAACCCTCCTTTTGAGATGTCAGCGTGATTCTAAAGATGCCGGGTCCAGGACTCGACCCACACAGTAAGCCATGTGGAATCCAGCTGTCTTAACCACTGTACTACAGGCTGGCTTGAGTAAAAGAGTCACATTTTAAAACACCTGCCACTGTGTAGTTTAATTCTCAAACCGCCCATTTAATATCGGCAGTGATCTTACTCATTTTACAGATAAGCAAACTAAGGCTTGGCTTGGGGAGCTGAAGTGACTTGCCGAAACACCGATCCAAACCCACAGGCAAACCGCACGCTTATCTGATTCCAGACCTTTTGCATAATCATCTTATGCGTCCTTAATGGGAAAAATAAACACAAACCAGTTCCCTTTTTGTTTTGTTTGTTTGGGGGTACGCTCATTTCGGAGAGGATTCAGTCTGTTCTTAGGTTTCTGCCATAGGCACGTGCACCTGCTAGGAATAGACAGAGGGGGGCAAAGTAAGGAATCAGTCCCAGAGGGGTGGCCATGCCGCAATCCCTTCACTTCCTTTCTCCTCCTGGGATTTTGGGCAGACACATGCCTGGAATCAATTTCAAGCCACCATGTCCGGGACTATAACCACAAAACCATTCTGAGCACTCTCTCGACTTTTTGGCTTTTCTTTTAAGCTTAAGAACATTACCCGAAACACTGCGACTTTCTTAATCCCATAATGAACATTCCAAGCAGAAATATCCTCATGAAATATGCATGTTCCTTTCCACACAAGATCACCAAATCCACTGGGTTCCAGTTTCACTGTCAAAAACCAGAGCTCGTGAACACATTGAGCAAGTACGAGCCCTTCTCCCTGGGCGCTCACATCCATGACGAGACAGCCTGCACAGTGCAGTGTCATCCAACTGGGGACGATTAGGGACTCTCGCAGCTCTTACAAAGGTCGGAACTCTTTCTACCAAGAAACGGCCACGAGGAAACATCAAATGCCAGCTTGGCGCGATCCGCAAAGACTGAGCTGCAGGTAGGGTTTTCTGGAGGCTTCGGAACATAGACAGCAAGTGGGATGGAAGACCGCGCCGGCAGAGAGCAGAGAGGGGGCTCCCCAGGCTTGACAAATGACACCGTGATTCACACCCACTGCTGGGCTGTCTCTAATAAGCCACAGAGGAAGCAGCCAATCTCAGCTAATTACCAGATAAAAATGTATTGTAAGGACTCTAATTAGGAGACGCGGATGGAGGTGATCTAATGATTAAATGCTGCATCGGAGTGACCCCACCATCGATGTGCAGTGGTGCAAGATGTCACTGGAATATTTTGTAGAAACAGTCATTTTATTTCGAAGAGGGGAGGCAGTCCTATTTGTAACGACGGCTATGAGGTAAACTAATTAAAAGACAGTTCCGAGAGGAAGAGGGTGGCTGAGAGCAGCTGTGGCCATTCCAAACCCAAGTGCCAAGTCTCAATAGAGGAGCCGCAGTCAAGTGGAAAATTTCTGCCTGACCTCTGCCCCTGCTATTAATTTGCAGGAAAACTAATGACACATATACATATTCCCACAAAATTGTTCTAATTGCTAATTTGCCAAAGGAGCCCGGATTCCAAATTAAACATGACTGTAGCCTGTGAGGGGCGGACAAGAAGCTGTCCACTCCAAACAGCCGGGGCTCTGCTCACAACGTCACCTGGAGGCTGAACCAACAAGTTCACGAAATGTCGACCTTGTCAACCGCTAGAGAAGTTTCTTAACTTTTACACTCTTGTTTGATGATCACGTGCCTGTCTTGGAGAGAAGGTATCTTCGATGGAAAAGGTCATGGGGGTGGGAGGAGAGAGAGAGAGAAAGAGAGAGAGGGAGGGAGGGAGGGAGGGAGGGGGAGACTCAAAACAGGCTCTGTCTTCCAACCAAACCTGCTCTTTTAATTAAGTTCTCTCTGGAAAAAAATAAATAAATAAGAGGACCCAAAAAAAAATTAATTACGGACTAAGAACAGAAGAGAACACATCAGGAACGGTGTGGGTTTTGCTGTAATCTTGAAATATTCATCTTAATTGTAAACTATTAAATCTTAATATAATCATCAATTAGAAATGAAAGCATATGTGTTTCGTGTTTCTGATTGTAGTTAAGGTTTTCAAAGATAATTTTTTCCGGGGCATGGAACAGGAAGGGATTGGACTGGGAGGGTTGCTTTTCCTGATAGAAAGCCTTTTTTTTTTTTTTCCCTTATTGTGTTCACTTTCTATTTAAAAAGAAGTTGCTATGTTTAGAAAAGTTAGTAACTCTGATATTTTCTACATGGCAAGTTTCCATCATGTGATGATTTCAGCAAAGATAATCTCTTTGAAACTCCAGCCAAAAGTTACATTCTCGTGTCACTCAAAATTGCTGGAGGGCTCTATTTTTTAAACGGATGGGTGTTCTCAAGCATCATCTCCTCCCTCCATTTGGTTACAGAAGGACTACCCTGGAAATA